GGAGGAAGAGGGGGGCGTAATGTCACGGGTGTTCCCCTCCCCTCGCACCCCGCTTACCCCATCTTCCATAGAGCAGGGGGGACACACCAGGGCTCAGGATGGAGGGAGCTTGTAGCAGCTGTGGTCTCAGCAAGCTGATCTAATTAACAAGGCAGTGTACTTAAAGGGGAAAGCGCATATCTCCCTCCATTCCTGCTGCCTTGTAAAGTGAGAGAGTTAACCGTTGAGGGCTCAGCCAATTGCTAGTTCATCATTTAGCAGTAAGAGAAATATCCCACCCTCTGACTCCTCCACCTCAACCAAGCTTCACAATCATCATCACTGTGTGCCAGTATTAAATTGTTTGTTCAAAACTTCTAGTGTGTGTGTGTGTGTGTGTGTGTGTATAAAAATACAGTCTTGTCTGGTGAAAAAAATTTCCCTGGAACCTAGCCCCCTCATTTACATTAATTCTTATGGGGAAATTGGATTTGCTTAACATTGTTTTGCTTAAAGTTGCATTTTTCAGGAACATAACTACAACGTTAAGTGAGGAGTTACTGTATGTGCATATTTATTTGTTTTTCCTAAAGTTAATTAAGTATTTTAGGGAAAAAATGTCATAGCTGCCACTGCACTCTAAGGCCACCAAAAAAGTGTTGTGAGAACCCCAGAGTATGTGTCGTCTTTTCTGTCTTTTACAGCACCGAGCATGCTGCTTGTACTTAGCAAATATATTTTACATTAAAAAAAATATTTCAACCTTTCAATTTCATTATTAAGTCACAATTGATGTAATTAGTATACACAGAATAAAAGAAAAATTAAGAAGGTACCATTTTCTTTTCGTAATCTTGTTATAAACTTCTTTGGAGGTATAACTCCAACTTTTTTCTTCTGTGTAGCTATGCTGTGGAAGAGATCAGCTAAGCATGTAAGGAGGTTCTCTTTTTTTCTGGGTTGACTCTTGTATGCTAGGACTTTTTCTCGAAATGGTCGACAAAAATAAAGTGCCTGAAGAACTGAATTGCAGTAGCACGTGTTCCCAAACTATAAAATAAGAAAAAAAAAATATTATCTTGTATTGTATTTCTACAGTGATGCAAGGTTTAAAAAACCAAATATAAACATACAAGCAAGGGCAAATTTTCTGGAAGGCATTTCTTGTTGATTTTCAGATAGTAAAAAATCTCGGGCAGCAACATAAATAATGGGGAGCACTCCAGATAATTTTAACTGATACTAGATTGTGTCTTCCTGTTATAATTGGGGTATGTATGTGTTATCAATGCTTTACAGTGCTGTGGAACTGTAAACTATTCAATAAGTGCTCAGTATTTACCTAGTGCCAAAAATGTACACAGCACAGTATAAAGAGTAAATTGAAAAAAATGAGAATCTCTGCCACATATATCAGTCAAAATACCACTCAGTACAATAAAGAAAGAAACAGTATAAAATGTAGCATTTATGGCTGAAATTTTTCATGGTACTGGTAGGTGGGTCTTCAAGAAAAATGCATGGTCCTGGGCAAGTCTCCCCATCTGTAAAACGGAAACATCATATATCTGCCACACATGGATTCTGTGAATTTGCAATTTTAAAAATGCAACATACATTTCTATGATTCTACAATTTATATGATGAAAATAGTAAGGCTGGAAGGGTCCTCAAGAGGCCATCGAGGTCATCCTCCTGAGCTGAAGCAGGACCATGAATACCTAAGAGTACCCCTGATAGGTGTTGTCTAACATGCTCTTAAAAACCTCCAGTGAGAAGGATTCCACAAGCTGTCTCGGCAACCTATTCCAGTACTTAACTATCCTTATCATTAGAAAGGCTTTTCTAATATCTAACCTAAAGCTCCTTTGCTGCACCTTAAGCCAGATACTTCTTGTCTTACCTTCTGTGGACACAGAGAACAATTGATCATCATCATTATAGCAGCCCTTACCATACTTATCAGCAACCCCCACCTACCTCCTTTTTCTAAAGACTAAATATACTCTATTTTTTAAATCTTTTCTCATAGGTCATGCTTTCTAAACCTTTTATCATTTTTGTTGCTCTCCTCTGGACTCTTTTCAGTTAGTTCACCTCTTTCCTAAAAAGTGTGGTACCCAAAACTGGATACACTATTCCAGTTGAGGTCTTACCAGTGCCAAGTACAGAACAACAATTATCTCCCATGTCTTACATACAATACTCCCGCTAATACATCACAAAATATTAGCCTTTTTTTGCAACAGCATCATACTGATGACTCATATTCTATTTGTGATCCACTATAACCCCTAGACCCTTTTCTGCAGCGCTACTGCCTAGCCAGCTATTCCCCATTTTGTATTTGTGCATTTGAATACTTTGCACGTTTTTATTGAATTTCATCTTGTTTATTTCAGACAAATTCTCCAAATTATCAAGGTTCTTTGGAATTCTAATCCTGTCCTCTGTAGTGCTTGTGATCCCTCTCAGCTTCATGTCATCTACAAATTTTATAAACATATTCTCCACTCCATTATCAAAGTAATTAATGAAAATGTTATGTATTAGTGCATGTTGGTAGTTGCTTTCAAACTATAGGGATGTACTATGATAAAGCCACTAATACAAACAGTTATCTAGGGACAAGTTGAGAGCATGTTCTCAACCCAGAATGGTCTAAAAGTTCCTTAGTCATTGCTTTGGGAGTATGGGGAAAGTGATTGCCTTTGGCAGCTCTCATTTGGGACTGCATGACCAACAAAACCACCATATACAATGCAGTCAGAAAACTGGAGACCAAAGAAAGACATCTGGTTTCCATATTTTCAGTTGATTTCAAGTACAATTATTAACAGAATATATATCTATTGCTAAATGCTTTAAAGAGTCACGGCTCCTACAATTTAGAATATAGGTAATCAGGATGAACACAGCCCATTTAAAAAACAAAAATAAAACCAACCCCAATTCCCTACCCCGTCCCCACCCCCAAGATTGTTCTCCAGGAAAGGCTGCTTGCAGTAGCTCTAAGTTTTTAATATTACATGAAAGATACTGATCACTCTATAATCAAGAATATCCAAAACAATTGAATTTTTGTTTAATTAAAAATGTTCATTTTATATTTAATCAGTGAATTTCAGATATACCTTTCAAAATTTCCTACAGAAATCAGAGCAACAAAGTTGTAGATAAAAGGTTTCACAATTTCCAGATTGGAAAAGTATACAGACTGGTGACATATTAATTGGGAGAGTAAAACACATAGAGGGACAGAGAACCAAAATGCAGAGTGAGCAGGAGATATTGAAGCTATGGGCCAAACTGAAAGAGATGAAATTCAATATAAATCAAGGTAAAATTATACATCTATGGAAGGAAATAAAAGCAGACTGACTCTCAGCTTTTCAGTCTCTCTCTGATCAATTTTGAGAGACAAGGGGGCAACTGTAGATAGCAAGCTAAATGTTAATTATTCATATTATTATTAGTAGTAGTAGTATTATCATAGCACCTAGGAATGCCAGTCATAGATAGGACCCCACTGTGCAGCAGTGTTGTTTACAAAGACAACAACATTTGGGGAACCACATGTACAGGTAGAGAAGAAATACAATGAGACCATACCTCTGCTACTGGCTATTAGTTTGAGTTCCCATTTTCGGGAGGTGCTAAGAAACTATAAAGAGGATAACAAAGTGATACATGGATTAGAGGATGAGTCAAATGAAATGTGCCAGAGCACACTAAGTTTATCTAGTCTGAAAAAGATCACCATATGCTAGTAATACCTTCAAAGTCACAATTTAAATGAAGGTATGGAACTGTTTCATCTCAGGGCAGATATACACTAAAGAGTTACGTCAATCCAGCTACGTCCCTCAGGGGTGTGAAAAATCCACACCCCTGAGCAACACAGTTAAGATGACTTAAGTCCCCATGTAGACAGATTTCAGAGTAGCAGCCCTGTTAGTCTGTATCCGCAAAAAACAGGAGTACTTGTGGCACCTTAGACACTAACAGATTTATAAGAGCATAAGCTTTCGTGGACTATGCATCCGAAGAAGTGGGCTGTAGTCCACGAAAGCTTATGCTCTAATAAATCTGTTAGTCTCTAAGGTGCCACAAGTACTCCTGTTCTTCATGTAGACAGAGTTAGGTCGATACAATAATTCTTCCATTGCCCTAGCTATTGCCTTTCAGGGAGGTGGATTACTTATGTCAAAGGGAGAACCCCTCCTATCAGCATAGGTAGCATCTACACTGAAGTGCTACAACGGTGCAACTCGGCAGCTCTGCCATTGTAGAGTTCCAAATGTAGACAAGCCCTCAGATGATATCAGGAATCTGAAACCAAGAAAAAGTTTAGCCTAGATATTATGAAAAACTTTACTGGACAAAGACTATCAAGATTTCCTCAGGCAGAACCATGAAAATTATTTACCGTTTCATAGTTCATCACAGGGTTCTGAATATCAGCAATGAAACTAACTAGTCTTAGGCCAGGTCTATGCTTAAAAATTTGATCGTTCTAGCTACATTGCTCAGGGCTGTGAAAAGTTTCACGCCTTGTGCAACATAGTTAGGTCGACCTAACCCCCTGTGCAGATCAATGGGAGAATTCTTCCATTGACTTAGCTACTGCTTCTCTGAGACATGAATTAACTACATTGATGGAAAAATCCCTTCTGTTGATGTAGGAAGTAGCTATGCTACAGCCCTAAAGCTGTACAGCTACAGCACCATAGTTGTGTCACTGTAGCAACTGTAGTGTAGTCATACTCTTAGTATCAACTTGCTTGTATTTGGCAAACCTGAGTAGCAGCAGAGGCACTAAGGCTATGTCTACACTATAGCTTATGTCAGCATAACTTATGTTGCTCAGTGGTGTGAATAAACCACCCCCTCCTGAGCAACATAAGTTACACCGACATAAGCGCCCGTGTGGACAGGACTATGTCAGCAGGAAAGCTTCTCCCGCCGACGTAGCTTCTGCTGTTCACAGAGGTGGTTTTATTATGCCACGGGAGAGCTCTCCTGTTGGCATAGAGCCAGCTTTTAAGTTCGGTGGTGGGTCACAGCCTGGTGTCGCTGTGAGATACTTTCCCCCTGAACTGGTCAAAACATTTGCTGTATGCCTTCCCTCCAGTTCTGCTCCTGCCCAAGGTCTTGTCCAAGATCAAACAAGATGGTGCCCAGCATAGCCTCACCAACATTGGTTTATGTCTCTACTAGTCCTATCAGTCAGAATCCCTATGATGCTTCTGAGAAATGTGGATGTGGTCTCCCAGGACAACAGCTGCTCCTCCATCTGACAGCATGGATGCTAAGTGGCTAACTTCCTTGGAAAGTCTTTGCTTTAAAGAAGAACGCCATGCAAGCCAAATGGATGGGACCAGACTTCTTTGATATTTATATGGAGAGTGAGGTCCTAGGATGACCAAAGCCTCTGTGTCTGATGGGGGCCCAAATGAGCCACAAACACTCGTGGGTTATTATGAAACAATGTCAGGAGAGGAAAAGGCCCATGTACACCACAGTGCAAAAGAACTGTGGCCGATTTAATAAGAAACACTCAAGAGAGAAAGGAAAGTTATTTGGGAAAACTTGATTGAGACAGGACCCACTGAAGTCAGGCCTGCGTAGGTTACAATCAGAGGCAGTATGCCTTTAGATGCATGTAGACTGTCATTTTAAAAATCTTTTTTCTCTAGATCCTTTGCTCCCATTGGAAAATAAACAATATTTTTGTTTTAAGAGGACTGTTTTATCACCAGATACCACTGGTCACAGACTCCTGAAATGAAGAACCACAGGTTTCCAAATTCAGTCAGACCTGCTGGGTAAGATCAGTTATTACACACAGAATCATAAAAATGTACATCTGAAATGGACCTCAAAAGGTCATCTAGTCCATCCCCCACATGTTAAAGCAGGACCAAGTATAACTAGACCATCCTTAGACATTATACTATATAGCCCAGGGCTTGCTCTAAGAATGGGGGAACTGCAGAATTCCACCCCAAAATAGGTAAAAGGTAGAAAAGCCATTAGTCAAAAGCCACTTGAGGGACTGCATTCAGAGAGACAAGAAAGGGGATAGAGATGCAGCTGGCCTTGTAATCATGACATATTAACCAAAACTTCTGGACACAAGTTAAGGTACCTCTCCTGACTGCAGAAAGCTCCAAGCCTGCGCTGCCCTCGGAGTTGGGCTCTGAAGGTAGCAGCTACAGCGCTTCCTGGAGCTGGGGAAGGTTCCCGGAAGTGGTTCTGATATCCCCCATACTGCTGGGAGCGCCCAAGCTGGAGGCTCCTAGCTATTAGTCCAGGCCGGGCTGGGGAGGGACAGGACTTCTTCCCCTGCACAGCCACTCTGGGTGGTGGGGGAGAGGGGAAGAGATCAGACCCACCTCCAGGTACCTCCTCCGGCTGCAAGAAGCTCCGCAGCTGAATAAGCCTAGCTCTGAAGGCAGTGCAGCTGTGGAGCTTCCTGCAGTCGGGGGAGATACCCAGAAGTGGGTATGATCTCCCTCCCGAGCAGCCATGCAGGGGAAGAGGAAGTTCTACCCCTTCCCAGCCTGGCCCAAACTAGCAGCTAGGAGCCCCCAGCTGGGGCACGCCCAGCAGCACGGGGGAGATCAGACCCACCTCCAGGAAACAAAATGGACCGTGAATTTGGTAGGGCTCTACTGTCAGACTCACTTTCTTAAAGTGTAGCAGATCTGTGGAACATATCCTAGCAAGAAGCAGAAGATTACACTACAGTAGCAATTCCTGTTAACAGCAATTAAAAATAAACTTCTTTAAGAAACAAAGCATTGTGGCCTATGTTTATTCATTTTTTTTTTACTACTGTATATTCTGAAACCCACAACCATTTTAAAATATCTTTAAATCTGCTCAGCTGCAACTAGACAACTAAAAATGTCCACTGTGTTTTTAGATCTGTGTGATTTAAATGCTCCCCCAAATCTCTCTCACACACCCCGCTTTCAGACCAACAAGAAAGTTTTAAAACTGCAGCAACACTTAGTTTCACACAGAATGTTTCCAAGATGGTAGCAATTCCAGTTGGAACGATCAGAAGCATTTCAATGTACACCTCTACCCCGATATAACGTGACCTGATATAACACGAATTCAGATATAACAGTGTTGCGGGG